ATAATAATGATGATAATGATGGTGTTGGTGATAGCGGTGGCGGTGGCGATGCCGGTGAAATTCAGTTTCATAATTGAATCTCACCGCTGACTATCCAAAACGAAAACAAAAAAAATGTGAGGGCATTCTTTAATCGTGGTTCCAATAACAGAATTTCCTGCATACTGGAAATATCTCGGACTTAAAAAAAGGGGGGAGTACTAAAACCATCCTACATGTCAGTGTGATTACCTTGAAAAGACTCTTCGAATCCGCCGTCTGATCAAGACTGTCCGAGGCAATCACCTGTATAGTAGACTGGATTTCCATCTGCGTGTCTTCTTCCATTACATATGCGTCAAAAMCTTCTGAAATCTCCGGCAAATACGTTCCTTCCCAAGAACTACCCATGTACATCGTTCCTACTCTTCCTTCCTCGGCTTCCGTTTGCTTGGAATTGCATTCTGCAATTTTCCACAAGTGTTCAATGGTATCGCTGTAAAAAGCTAAAACTTCTTCCATCTGCTTTTCTGGCGATAAGCTAGCTAAATTAGTGGCACGCTGAGATGGTTTGTGCCAATAGGATTTGATTTTAATGTCCACGTACTTTAAATGCTCCATAAGAGACATGATCATAAAGTCTAAAGTACTCTCCATCTCTGTTCCGAGCTGTTTTATCACAGCTACTTTGGACAATCACAACAGAGCTAGGCTCCAACTAGGTGAACGAATTTAGAAGTTGATTTTTCAATTCAACATGTAGTATCTCATTAGCTGGGCGTTTCCAGCAACTGCTTTCGATAACACCCATTCTACTTTCATTTTTCTTTCTTTTCCACAAAGCAAACACTTCCTAATAAGGTTTACGAGCTACGGTTCCCGGAAGTGTTTGGTTTCGAGTACTGGCAGCAAAAATCTTTCATTATTTCCTTTCGATCATTAATGTTCTCTAAAATTTTGAAAAATAGCTGTTTGGATTCATATAACTAATTCTGTACATCTCTTTCATTCACGTATCTGTATATCATATTTAATATTGTCATTTATAAGAGAATGATGGGGAGTTGGCTTCGAAAACTTTTGTTACTTCAGCTCCCCAGCACCTCATAATTATTTTTCTCACTATCTATAATTTACTTTCTTTATTAGTTATAACTTGCAAATTTATCATCTATTTTGTCATGGTAAAGTATATCATGAGTGCAAAATAAAGAAAGAAAGATCAAAAGTCGACTAGCACAGCGGGGCGCCCTGGGAGTAACATGTTTCTCTTTCGATTTTATCAGGAGCTTAAGTTAAAAGACAACCATTTATGACTACTGATAATCTTTGTTTACAGTCAAACAAGCTCACGCGTTGACCCCTAGAGTCGATTAATGATTTGAATTTTCGAATTTTGATTTCATTATTCAGTTGAAATTTACAACGTCAAAAACGAAGATATGAAAATTCCAATCAACTTTAAATTCAATATACGACATTTTGATTGGTTAATTAGTGCTAACACAGGAAGACCAAGAAAACATGGCGGCCAGAAATAGTCTTGGCCGTGTTTATGTGCCGGGAAGGCCTTAACCTGATATTATTCGACAGGAAATTGTTCATCTCAGCAATAGCGGATTGTCCAATAAAGCAATTTCGCGACAACTGAAATTTTCTAGTTGGGGAGTCCAGAAAATACTTAAACATTATCGACGAMATGGAACCGTGTCTCCATTTCGCTCAAGGCGGGAGCGTTCCCTACAAAATTATTGATGATATCCTCCAAGTAATTGAGGCATGGAAATTACAAAACCTAGTGTGTATGCTTATGAAATAAGAGAGCGACTTCTGCTCGAAGGTATCTGTAATTTAGATGATTTGCCTTCTTCATCACGAGTCGAACAATGAACTGAATTTTCATTTGAATATTGCAATATTGCATTATTCCGGTTCGTACGTATAAAAGGAATAATTGACTAATGATTTCATTAATCGAATCTAGGGGTCAACGCTTGAGCTTGTTTGACTGTAAACGCATTAACAACCTTGATAATCATAGAGATTTGTTGATATGTTTTAACAATGATTATGATACTAACCTACAGAGAGACACTTAATTGATAATCTTGTTTTATTTTAATCCATATTTAACACATATTTTTCTAAGTGATTTGTGGGAATATTATATATTTTTATAATTTATTTATTAAACCTAAGTATAGAGATTTCAGTATCTTTCTCAAAGTGAACATTAGAGACACACAGACATAATATTATTTAAGAGAGCCTCGGCCCCACGTCCGCCATGTTGTGCGGCAAAAATATGTAAACTTTTCTCACTTACTAACGCAAAATTTAATTTCCTGCCCATAACATTGCATTGACGTGAAATCCTTCCATAAATATATTTGTTGAATTTTCTTCGGAACTACCAGAATTGTTTATTTAATTCCCCGAGTAGCTGACGGTGTTCCTCAGGTTCTGCCTTTGGTCCCTCCTACTTTGCACTAACCCTAACTATATTACTCTCAAGTTGGCGACTCTCTACAGAAACGCTGTCGCAAGGGAGTCTTTTCATAATCTTTCTGTAAACTTTTTGCATTATAAGTAGAGTAGGGAGTTCTACAGAGATCAGTTTTTGGTCCATTTTGACCACCACAGGGTTTCAGAAACATAAATCGCGCCAAAACATTTTTCAGTCCCAACGCAGTTGAATGTACGTCTTCAACTTTCTTCTCCAAATATTCCTGTTCATCTGAAATTTCCTCCCGGCGTTCGTGTCCTATTCCATTAAACTCTGAGTCAATATATGCTCGGCAGCTTCTCGCGAAGTTTTCGGTGGCGCTCGCTATTTGTTCGGGATAGGCGATGATGTTATGGAGATCCATGTCGTCACATGCTTGTGGTGTGGTAGTTGCCAGTGTCTTTGTGAGGTCTAGGATTGTATCTAAGCCTCGTACTAGACGAACGACAAAGGGGAACCGCCCATTACTGCGTCGATACTGAGTATCCTCTTTTAACGCGGATTGAAGCTGAAACTACAACAGGATTGGTTTAGTGATTTGTTCTAAAACTGAATCTACCCCTTTTTACGTTGGGCAGGATGTTTTTCCATTTCACGCCAAGTTTCGTGGCACATGAGTATCATTTCTTTGCTTACAGTCAAACCAGCTCGTGTTTCTATCAAGGTTCGAAGATTCAGTTGATTGTTGGAATAAAATTTGCAACGTTCGTTTCATAAATGCAAGCTTCAAAGCAAGATGGAAATCAAACCTACAATAATAAAATGGATCTTTGAACCTCGATAGGAACACATGAGCTGGTTTGACTGGAACGGTTGGGCATGAGAAGAAACATGACACGTGGTCTGAGACTCATTAAGAGGTCTATTCCATGAGGTATCATTTCCAGCTAACGTGGGCTCCCTGAGGAGCATTGATCAATTATGTTTTACCTGTATTTCGCGACCTTGATGGATGAAGTCAGATGTCGCACGGAGTAGCTTTACTACTTCTTCTGTTACTTCCCTTTCGACCTGAAGAATGAATGAAGGGAAAGTAAAAAGATGAACTAATAAGTGGCAAATAAAATAAAATCATGAATTTTTGATTAAAGGGTAATCGTACACAGCAGCAGCTCTAACAACAGTAGCAACCACAGCAGTAACACAGGAACACATCAACTGCCGCAGAAACAGCGGCAGTGACTGCAAGCGGCAATGACAGCAGCAACACCGCAACACATCAATAGCAACACCAACAGCAGCAGTAGCAACAATAGCAGCAGCAGCAATAACAGCGACAACAGCAGCAGCAACAGCAGCGACAACAACAGCAACGAAAACCACTTTAAATAAAGATTTTAAGCTGTCACACCACTCTCACCTCAGAGACATCAACTCTAATAATATTTTCATCGATCTTTTCTTGTATGTTTTCTAGTGTGTCCAGAGAATGACGTATCGAAGAGTGTAAAAACTGCTCCTGTCCTGCCACAAATGCTTCTTCGAGATCTCCATCGCGACTGTTAACGTATTTCTACACGATAAAAGAGAAAAAACCATACATCTTGTCATTACATTTGGTCGTATGAAGTTTAGTTCCCACGGTGAGTACGTTTCGTAGATCAATAGGCTATTTGCATGATGGCTCGATTCACAGCCTCGTACAATTAATCTTCAAGCAACGTGAAAATTCGCTTGTATTTTACTGCTTTCCATGGCTTTACCTTTTCTGATTCCATGCTTTCGTTCATCGTAAGAACAGCCATCTTCGCTGTTTGTTTTACTATTTCTTTAAGAAGAGATTCACTTTCAGACAAGATTTCTTCTGGGTTGGAAGAACTGGATGATTTGTCTAGGTTCTGTAGGAGGAGAAATTTTTTTGTTATGAGACTGCATGCATGGATTGAAGTGTTAGCTATATTATTGGGTTAGCTATATTATTGCACACTCTTGGCCATCATTGATCCTTACCCCCATCATCATCACCACCCACCACAACCAATGCCAACAACCAGCAACGCAAATCAAAACACTTCCTGTTGTCTTACCGATAACAATTTGATAAGGAGAGTAGACAACTCTTGGATATGGTCAACCAACTTTTCTCGCAGCGACACAAACTTCTTGTAGTTATCACCATGGTTACTACATTCCCATGACTGAACGTTCGCAATGAGCGTCTCCATGGAAACGGTTAAAACAACGCAATTTTCTTGGATCACCTTTTCTTCTGTAATAAAAGCAACTAAGTTTAGGATTTACTAGGAATTAAGAGGATTGATTGATTACCGCGAGAAAGTCAAGGTGCACACACCTCTCACCTCTGGGGACTGAGGTTTGATTCCTGGATTTGTCATCACAAGTAAGCCAAAGCTTTTTGTGCCTTTCCCTTGAGATTTGAGGGTTTTCCTGGTTTTAGTTCCTCCTTTCGCAAAACCTTACCATGACACGCTCTTATGAACAGCGCTTACCTGGATCGTTTGTTGGCCTTCGATGCTTTTTGATATTTGATAAGCAAGCTTTAATCTTTTGAACGCTGGACAATACTTTTTCGTGAACTGGAACTTGCAGTCCGTCAGGGTTTTCTGAACACAMAAAAAAAAACCATTTTGAATTAAACAGTAATGATGAAAAGGTAAATTATACACCGTGAAAAGATGAAAAAACTTACTAACCTACTTACCTCTTTTACTCCGACGAAGGACTAGCRTCCGAAACGTCAGTAAGTTTTTTCATCTTTTCACGGTGTATAATTTACCTTTTCATCATTACTGTTTCATTAGAAACACCGACGCAGCTCACACTAGTTTTTAGCTAGTTATATCTTTTTATTTTGAATTAAAGAGAACTACACTTGCAAATTCCAAGAGCTGTGAGAGCATTTCGATTAATATAAGCACTAAAACTAAAACGAACCTTGTAAAGATGACAACGATTTCCCAAGAACCTCTGCACATAGGACCGACACAAGGCGCACGTGATTCTGATCACATGACGTGCCACGTGACTGGATCCTAGATGACGTCATGGGCTGCTCAACTGCGTCATGATAAAAGCAGCACCGTCAATATTTGAATTTTAATAAGAGATAATTTTTGAACAGAGTTTTTATTTAATTCTTTTTTAAAGAATTTTAAACAATGAGGATTTTGTCTTTTTACCTTTTTTGTTGAGCAAAGGCGACAAGTTTGTAGGGGAGTCAAAAACCTTCCCCTCAGGGGTCGAGTACGGGATGTCCATGTTTCCTGGCGTTGACGTAGTACTAGAATCTTGTCTGCTACGATATTTTGCGAAGATACTCTCTGCGCGAACTAGGGACAGAGAGGGAAAACATAAAAAGTTTTAAATATACCCCTTGCGCTAAAACAATGGAATTTTTTTTGCATAAGAAAAGACGGCCTATTGTCTTGTTCTCCAGAACAATTCTCTAGGACATCAATGCAAAGAGTCTATACAAATGACACACTGTCCGATAATAGCTGGTAATCATCCCGGCCTACCTCTATTTTCAGTTGTGTCTGTTGTTGTTTTCCTTGAAGCTAGCGATAACGCTCCCATGGTTGATATTCGTCTGGAAAGAAACCATACTATGAATAACTGCGCGCAATAGTGGTCCTATTTTCTAGGTTCTTGCTGGTTTTTCCTCCGTCCAAAATACCTAAATAACACTACATTACATTTCAATAGCGAGTTAGCCTTTTCCTGTCTAATTTCGATCAGCCCGGACGGAGGTGGTTTGATAAAATTTGAATGTGAAGTTGGATAACACGCACCTGTTATGAGGAGAGCCGAGTTTAAAGTCATTGTCCCACTGATCGTCGGGGTCATAGAAAGGATCATCATCGCTTGACTGACAGTTTTCATCTTGCTGCAAAAATTAGAAGAAAATATACAGTTGAAATGATACACAAGGAGTCACACGTTCTGAAATGGCAAAACATTACGGCCAAAGGGTCTTGAGGTGGCGAGGTGAACAGCAAAGCAGTGTATCTGTCAATATACCTGGTATAAGTCTCTCATCAGATCCAGTCTGGATTCAAACTTCTCAATGGTCCATAGGGTCGTCATTCCTTTCTTGATGTCGTTAAGACGAACTTTGCTTTCAGTCTAAACCAAATAAAGTGAAAGAAAAATAGATGAATGGGTGGGTGGATGAATAGATGGATGGGAAGATGGTTGGTTGGATGGATGGATGGGAATGCAAGGATGTTCAAGGGAGGGATAAATGGAAAGGATGGGAAGGGATGAAAGGATGGAAAGAGATGGATGGATGGATGTGAAGGCATGGATGTTTAGTTAAAGGGATGGATGGATGGGAAGGGAGGGATGAGCCTAGTAGATGAATGGACGAATGGGATGCATGAAAGAACAAGCCTTACCTTTCCATCTACAGTAATTTCATCTCGACTAAATGTCTGAAAAATAAAAAACATATATTTTCTAATCGAATTCTTTTGACAAATGACCAATATTCCCATGATATTATTGTTATCACGCAGCGAGCAGAGAGCATTGCCTGACACGTAAAGCTTAAAGCTATTCTTTCGTGACAAGAAATGGTTTGCTTACAATGTTCTTTTTCATGTGCTGACTGATCTTATTCGCTTCTCGCAACGCCATTGTTATTCTTAACAGTTCTTTCTTGCTTGGATCATCTGAGGACGAAAAGGAAAAACAGATGCGGTTTGTTTGTTAGAACAGTCGAAAAAAAAAAACAACAACAGAAGCAGCTCAGCAACAACAACAGCATCAATAGCAACAACAGCATCATCAACAACAACAACAGCATCAACCAACAAAAACAACAGCAGTAATAACAACAGCGAGATCAACAACCACAAACAACAACAGCAGTAGCAGCAGCAGCACAATTACAAGAACAGCATCAACCACCAAAGCAGCAGCAATAACAGCGACAACGACAGCATCAAGGGGAGAAATACAACAACAAGAACAGCTACAACAGTACCAACAACATCAATAGCAGCAGCACTTTCAGCAAGATTGTGATGGCATACCCATCGTCGAAGCTTTGCGTCCAAGTGCATTGAATGATGCGCGGAACTCGTCTCTCATTTTCTCGCGTTGTTTCTGAAAAAATGAAACAGAGATATCAACATGATTAATAGCAGCAACAGCAGAAACAACCGCAGTTATATTATCATCACTACCACCATCATATATGCATGGATGTTAACACCGCTATCATCGTTCCAATAACGACAACAGCATCCACTGGCATCATAACCACCACTCGTCACCATTATTATTATCACTATCATTATCGTCACCATCATCACCATTAGCATCATCATCACCACCATCATCAACCACCATCAACAATCACCTACATACATACTTTTGCTTCTTTCAGCTTCAATACATCATCCTGCATCTTCTTTTTCTCTTTCTCCAGTTCAGACATGATTCTGATTTGGTTGAGCTTGGTCTCTTCAAGAGCCTGAAAATGCATTTTTTTGTTAGGTTATTTTTTACTTTACTCATAATCCATCTCCGTTGAAAGAAAAAAAAACGCATAAGGTTTTTTATGAAGGCATTTTACAAAAACTTTCCATGACAATTGTCAAAAAAATCTTTTTTCAATAATTTTTTCAAACCTGTTTTGCTGCCAGAGCTTCCATTTGAAGTTTCTTTCTGTTGCTTAAAATCTCTTGTTCCAACATCTGCAACAAATGCAAAGAAACAATAAATAAATGGTAAAGATACCGATGATACCTTCTTCAATGACAAGAAGCACTTCTCTTGCATTGAGCTGTAGCTGTTGTTGTAGCTGTTGTTATTGTTGGTGATGGTGATGGTGTCGAATGACCGCGGAATGTGGTGGTGATATTTCTTTTGTTATATTTGTAGTTCCTGCTCTTCTGCTTTCATTATTGTTGTAAACCTAGCAGCAGCAGCGGCACTAGAAGTAATTGTTGTTGTCGATGCTGCTGCTTAATTTAGTCGTTGCTGTGGCGGTGACAGTGAAGGGATCGTCCATTTTCTTTTTCTGTTGTTGTGGCTGTTATTAGCATTGTTATCGTTATTGATGCTGCTATGACTGTTGTTGCTAATTGTTAATGCCATTGTTGTTTTCTAATTCCTTTACCTGTCTATGTGCTTGCAGCTCTGATATTACATCTTCTTTGGACTGATTCGACCTTTCTGCGTCCTCCTTTTTACGATTGAGGTCATTCTGCACAAACAAAAAACAAAATCAATCAATTCTTCACGAGCCAAAAACGTTTGTGACCATTGGCATTGATTAAAAAATCTTCACTATACCAATTTTTGTTGTAGCTCGTCATTTCTCGTCTCGTACTCAGACTTCTGTCTCATCAGCTCTGCAGCTGCTGCTTCCTGTAAAAAATTTTTAATAATATTTAACAAAACTTAAGGTGCTTGTCATTTACCTGGACAAACCGGACATTTTGATTGAAAAACGAATGGTATATTGTCCATTCGGAAAATTCCGCAAAACTCGGTTTTTCCGATTGAGTTAACCCACTTTTCCCGCTCTTTTCGGTTTTTCCGGTAGACGCGCGTACCAACTGTCGCGAGAGTCAAATTTTCCCGCTCTTTTCTTATCTTTAGCTAACGAATTCCCAACCGGTTTTTTTTGCAGTGGCGGGTCGGGGGGGGGGGGGGGGGGGGGGGGGGGGGGTCGAAGGGGTCCACGGAACCTCCCTTGAAGGTTTGATCTTTTAGGTATAATAGAAATATGTCTTATATAAATTGTAATAAAAAATATTAGGAGTTTTGCGAATTCCCAACCGGATAGATTGGTTAGTGAATAGTAAACTCCCTAAATTTCCGTTTGGAAATTTGAAAACGTGGACTAAATTTCTTTCGAATCTATGAGTTAACCTTTTCTTTTTGTATCTGTTTCATGTTTTCTTCTTGCGCTTGTAATCTTGCTTCTTCTCTCGCTTCCTCGAGTTCAGCTTGAAGTCTTAAAAACAACGTAAAACAAACATGAAATTCAGTGGGAAAATTATAGAAAATATATGATTTTTATAATAGTTGTACAAAGTTAGTTTTAAAAGTTTACCTCGCGTTTTGGACTTGAGCGAGTTCGTTTCTAGCGAATTCGAAGTCCTTAATAACAGCGCCATCTTGATTTGTTCCTCCAGATCGGAACTGCTCTTTTCTCTTCTTGCTCTCGATAGGATGGTTTAGTCTGTTGACAAGGAAGAAATGAAATAACGGAGAAATGAAACAAAAAAAAAAAAAGGACGAAAGTACGGATCGACTTAGAGGTAGCCTTTGTTCAGCAGGTATAATTTTTCTCAAAATTCGAGAGAAATTACACCGGCTGCACGCTGGCTACTTAGAGGCGTAAGAAGGGACAGACAGACTGATTAACAAACGAAGACAATAATTATAAAGATTGAATAGTAATTCAGTATTTACCTGAAAAAGTGATCTCCACCAATAACCAGACGATCACCCTATAGTCAAGACAATAATAACGTGAAAGTAAGTCATGGAGGATGAAAGATGGTGGTAGTAGTAGTAGGTATTGGTGGTGGTGCTGGCGGCAGAAGGAGTACATGGGGGGGGGGNGGGGGGGGGGAAGGTTGGAGGTGGGGTACTCACGTGATGTAGTTCTGTTTCTTCCTGGATGAGTAGACCATTGATGTAGGTTGGGGCATCAGCTGAAGATAGAATGGAGTGAGTTAGGAAAGTGTTTGAGGAGGGATGGATGGATGGATGGACGGATAGACGAACGGACGGAAGGATGAATAAACCAAATTAAAGCAAATACATCATGATAGTTTCCTTACCAATTGGGATTACTTTCACTTTGTCTCCTTCATTCTTGATAATACTAAGAAAAAAAAGAAATAATACAGTCACTTCTTTATCAAATAGAATAGAATACAATTCTTTATTTACCCACGTGTCAACCGGAAGCTTATAAACACTCATTGAAAACGCCGCGTAGTATAGCGAGAGTCCTCGAGTTAGAGAGGTGAGCTTGCGCGCGCGTTTTTTGGCGCGAAATTTTCATCCAAATCCACTGGAAACGCAACACAAGACCATTTTGTCTCGAGGAAAGTTACTTATGTTATCCCGACAGTTTCCCGACATGCAGAGATAAAGAATTTCTCAAATATTTCGAGAGATCGAACACACCAGTGCGACTCTGCCACCAAGGCTCCACTTAGCTGAATGTCTTGCTGTTGTTGATGCCCAACTGTTGAAATTCCTAGAGAGAAAAGAAAAAGGAAAGACTGTCAATTTTCTGTATTGTATTTCGCATTGCTCYTTTTTTTTAAGTTTGCTTACCTGGCTTAAGTATGTAGAGAAGCATCTCGGAGAGTTGAGGGTCTTCGTTAAGGTTCACCAGGTTTGGGAGTCGGTTATCAACCTTGAAGGAAATACCGACTTTCTGTACGAAAAATAAAAAAAGAAAGAAGGATGTGATTTTTCAAACGCAACGAAGCATTTAATAGAAAATATTTTTACACTATCTTCATTATAATGAATTTAGCAAAATCATCGCCAACTTTGGAATCACCGCTAATATCATCACAGCAACATTACAACATTACGGGAAAAATCTTCATCTCCATCATGAAGTCACCATCATCGCATCAACAGCAACACATCATCTTATTACCAACATCATCACCATCATCACCATTATCATCGTCATCACCACCAACATCATCATCGTCATCGTCAGCCTCTAGAATTATTAATGAAAAAACGGTAAAATTACCTTCAAGTTTTCAGCTTCCTCGCGTTTTCTTCTCTCCGACAAGGCAAACTTTTCCTGCCAATTCCTAAAATAAAAATAAAATATCTTGTTCAAACGAGCGACGAGAGACAAATGGCTCGATTGCACGGAGCAATTTTCTCTGCAACCTGTGTCGCAACGCTCAAGTTGCAAGCGTGTCGCCACGGTGCAACGGAGACGCGACCGTTGCCAAAAATAGAAAGGAATTCTACTTTTCGCAACGATTGCTTCGACTGGTCTCGCAATATTTTTCAAATTGCGCTGTAGGTCACACGTTGCAATGCTCCAAAATCGCTAATGATTGTTTTATTTCTCTTATTGTTCATTCGAATCATGCAAATGTTTGTCGAACCACGCTATAGAATATAACGTTCACCCTCATGATTGTCCAAGCGCGTTATAGATTGTCAATGATTATGCTAATAGCACTAATGAATTTTCACTTTTGGGTAAATGATTGTCCATAAATGCAATTGTTTGTCTTTTGGTGTTATTGAAGTTGAATTTCGCGCACAAGAAAATACATTCCGCGCATATGAATGTACAAACGCGCTATTGATTGTCCATTGATGTCCATGAACGTACACGCGTATTCAGTTATCGTTATTGAAAGTTGATCCGCGCTAATGATGTTACTTKTGGTGTTGATGAAAGTACATTACACGTTATTGATACAACTATTGGCACAAATGAATGTACATTTTCTGTTAATGAACGGCAAAAGGTGTAATTCCTTCTTAAGTTTTACGAATAAGCAGAGTAAAAACAAAACAAATGGTTCCCTCTTGAGTATAGTAAATTAAATCCGTTCTTTTACCTCGTTGATTCAACCAAGAGTTGCTGAGACTCCATCAACTTTTCTCGCAAAAGCTGAATTTCTGCCAGAGCGTTTTTGTTATCTTCCGGTGTATTACTGGTGTGCATTTGATGTAGATGATCGATCTCCGCTCGTAGCTCTGTGAATTTCCAAAAAAGCAAACGAGAAATACATTATGTGCCAAAAATATTCAATTATTCCACATGTTGCTTGGTCTCAAAGACAACGATGACTGTATTTTGGAACCTTATGGAAATATCGGCGTTTTATAAGAAAGAATTGTCAGTTCTTTCTCTGATAGCTGTCAAAAACTAACGTCACGAAGATGTAATATTAGATTCAAGTAAACATCTGTACGAGTTTATTGTAAAAATTATTTTTTCCTTAGCAGTTCATTCGTTAAAAGCGTGGTTTAAGTGATGTACTCTTGGACATTCTCTTTATTTATTTATTTATTTATTCTTCTTATTTTCCCTGGGCACTGATGGTTGCCTTTGGTCCGTAGGTCCACTGGACCATTTTGGTGCCTAGTGTCCCACCTGTTTATGTTTGTCCCAATAGTCCTTGATGGTCCCTGTTGGTCCCACGTTGGTCCCATGTTGGTCCCAAACAATTTCGTCCAGCATTAGCACCGATACCCACCTCTAATGATCTTGGCACTAGGATCTTCATTGATGACAGCCTTGTTGATGATAGTCCTTGCTCTTTGAGCATACGTTCTTAATGTCAAGGATTCCAACGATTTCCTTATATACAATCACAAACTTTTTCTCCTATCGACGAACCCACCCTTCTTCCCATCCTTAGCAACAAAAATACCTTCCAATCAACTTGAAAACAGACTAAAATATATTCTACAATAAAAATATTTTTTAGGAACTTTTGGGAACAAGATGTAAAGGATATCGAAGTGTACTTAAGGTTTCCCCAAACTGTGAGCTCGCTGGGCTGATGTTGGCTATCATTGCAGTCTTAGAGTTCCCTCCTAGACTATCCTTTAACAACCTAGAAACAAATAACATGAATATAAACATTAGGATGCCACTTTGTACAATGTTAGTGTTCTATGATATACTTGGAGTCTAGCATTCTGTGTTCAGAAGGACTGTTTAAACAAGAAAAACAACTAAAAAAGCAGCATACTTCTTGGGAAAATAAACCTAACTTTAAGAGTCAAATCATGCAGACTTTTGAATTCCAAGTTACTATTTTTTAGGTATTGAATTCAAGTACGTACCAAGTCAGAATGGAATCCCTGTAAGGAATGTAGAGTTTCTTCTTGTTTTGGATTTCTTTGTCTGACAGAAGAGAAATGACCTTCCCTAGTGTGTGTAGAGACTTGTTGATGCTTCCTCCTTCCTGTAAGAAGATGTACGTCAGAAATTCAGCCAAGAGAGAATTCAGACACAAGAAGATTAATGCACTGTTCACTACAATTAGATGTCTTTATCTTGGACGTATTGTTTTCCCATTTTATACTCTTTAGATCAATAAGATTCTTTGTTTGAGCAGTATCCATGTTCATGCGTCTTCTCATGCACAAACGTTAAAGGGGGGCCAGCATGAAAATCTTCAGAAATTTAATTTGGCTGAAACTTCAATGGAATAATCTTTAAGGGTTTAATAATCACTGGTTAAGGTTTTTTCTTTATATTCCAATGGGAAGTATTATATTTTTACAAATTTCTATAGGTGTCTGTGCCGTCAGACACTCAACCATAAACATCGCTCCATACATTTCTTTGTAAATAACGGAAAGATATGATACACTAAGGATAAAAACTGGTCTGAAATGAGAAAACATTACGCCCAAGCTGAAGAGATCTATTCTGAGGAGAACCAGAAAGCTGTCATTAGCTGTCTACCTTGAGCCTCAGGTTTGCAGTCTCGGTTGAAGTAATGACTTGTTCATTCAGCACGTTGCTTGCTCTTTCACTACCAGCCAAGTCGATCAGGTTGATCTTGCTTCTTGTGGTCAGCTGAGCTTCAGTGTCTTCGAAAACATCAGTCTAAAAACAGAAAAATGCAGTACTGTTTCTATTACCTATTTACTTAATCACATCACCCAATAGCAGCACAGGCATCTATTACTTTCCTCCAACAGGTTGTTGATATTATAGTAAAGTTCTCTATGTTTCGGTAACATCTTGCTTTTATCGATAAGGTTGTAAGCCCTAAGCACAGGTGGCGTAGCGGTGAGATTGCTCACCTCTATAATCAATGCAACCCAGGTTTGAGTCCCGTTGGGCTCGGTGTCGTATGTGAGTAGAGGAGTTGTTTGTTGGCTCTCGCCTGTGCTTCAAGGGTTTTTCCAGGTTCTCTGGTTTTCCTCCCTTCGAAAAACCACTTCTAAATTCCAATTGAAATTTCAGTGGATGAAGAGCTACTCTGTGGAAATGCTACTGCTAAATCCTATTTATTCTATTCTACTATTCTATTCTATTCTATCCTAATTCTATCCTATTCTATTCTATTCTTTTCTATTTTATTCTATCCAATTCTATCCTATCCTATTCTATTCTATTCTATCCTAATTCTATCCTATTCTCCATAATTATAATTGAGCAATCATAATTAATATTTGAAAATTTAAGGAGATTAAGAGTGATGATACTTGATGATGTAAAATCTAATAAAGGTGTAATATAATGAAAACAAAAAGTTCTATCCTATTCTATTCTATTCTGTTCTATTTTATTTAAGCTAAACCATAAGCGAAAGTAGTATCTATGACCAGATAATTTTTTTTGTTATATAGAATTATATAAACAAAATGAATTTTTATTGATCTCCACAGTTCCTGCCTACCAAGGTTGTCATGACTACAGTTATTCATACCTTTGTCTGAGTCATCATGATAGTGAAAACAGAGTGGGATCTACTGCTCTTGTCATTCATCCCTGTCGCTGCTGTAGCTCTGTTTCTGTTCCCCAATGCTAACCAAGACTAATGGTAATAAGGTAAAAAACAAAATTATTATCTCCAAATGAACTTTACAGAAAAGCCATTTTCTCACTACTTTTACCCCCTCGCCAGGATTTTTAACATAAACCACTAGCATTGTACCTAAATTTAGAAGATAGATACATACTATGAAATATAGACTAATAGATTAATAATACTTACCTCAATGTCTGAATATGTACTGACAACATACCTAGAAGAAGAGAAAGTACGAAAATAATGAAGTTGCACAAAATTGAACAATTGGTCAAGATTGATGTAGAGGTAAATTCTTTCAGATCAAAGTGATTGACACTTACGTCGAGAGATCCTGCACAAAGGGTCCCAATGCTGGATGCTCCCTGACTCTCAACTACATCGCCATAAACAAAACAATTTTTGCATTAGTATAGTGTTAGCTCATTTGATAACAATTTTATATCATTAATGCATGGCTCAGCCCATTCAGTATTACTGGAGGGGAATATGTGGGGGTGGGGTGGCCTGCTCAACTAGAAACTGTGGACAGCTGTTTTGGCCTGTATTGGGCCTCGTCAGCAGGGTGTATCTATTGAGCTGGCAATCCCACAAAAAAGTAGTACTAGGAAGATGAGGCAGTAAGTTGTGTGGGATGGCTCGGATATCAAATAAGAACATGCGTAATAGGTAAATTACGAGCCTTAGATGAAACGACTGAAGAAGAGTGTCATACAAGCCTTACACAACTTCAAGTCGCATAAAAAATGAGTGTTCAATAGAGTGATCAAATTAGTACAAACCTGTTTCTTGGTATCTTTATCCTTCCCTTTGGTAGAAACCAGAAGGTCATGGATCTTTTCGTTATAAATCTCAAAGTAGCTGATCTCAACAGTGAATTTGCACTTCAAAAGAAACAAAAATAATTAGTAAGACAATGAGTGTTGATAATCTTTAATGAGGGAAACCTACTCACTAAGCGTGGTTTTCAGTAGTGCCCTAAACAAATGAAGAAGAAAACTTGAGCAATCATTTTAGCTTTATCATTATTTAAAGTGCAAGTCCTTGATCAGGAGGTTAGAATCCTTTTAATTGCAACTATAAACCTCCTAAATGATAACTACTGCACTAAATCCTGATTAGAAAATAGCTTGCAGCTGCCTATCCATGACTCATACAAAAATGCACATTTGCCAGACTTGCCAAAATCCTCATTCTGACCCTTTAATATTAGCCAAAGATACAATACAATATACACACACCTAGTATTAATAAGCTTAATGCAGAATTTTTACAAGAATTAGTGAGAGATTTACCTCAGGCCAAACACTAATTCTTTCAAAGAGTTCTTCACAAAACCTTGGAAGTACGCCAGTGTCTTTTCCTTGCCCCATGATACTAGAAGACACATATGTTTTACAGTGATAAATTTACCAGAAAACTAATTATTTAGCTATATGAAAAGAATGTCAATAGACATCTTGTGATTCAGTGTAATGTTTTCCCATTTCTGACCACGTGTCATTCCCTAGAATATTATTTTTTTGTTTATTGGTTGTGCATAAGAAGACACATGAATATGGATACAACTCAAAGAAGAATCTTATTCTTAAAGGAATGACATCTGGTGAGAATGGGGGAAAGTTACGCTCAAGCTGAAGAGGAATATTCATGTTACGAAGAAATGTATAACATATAGTATGTAGCAATGCTATCAGAGACACTGATTACCTACCTGTAGGATTTTCCTGATCCAGTCTAAATAGAGGAAAAATAACAGTAAATTAGAAAGTGTATCAGGGTTGTAACCAGAACTTTTACAGGGAGGGTGCACAT